CCTTGACATGGGATGGGCACATACAGAAATTAACAGAGCTTTCTGTATACCGGATTATTTTGAATCTACAGTTTAAGGTTGCAATAGAAAATATCAAAATTTTACATGACAAACATATGAAAAAAAAATGATTTTTGATAATTGCTGATGAGACAATGATTTAGTAAAAAACATCAAAGCTGTGTAAATAAAAACATATTTGAAATAATACACATCTACAACCTATTTGAAATAATACACATCTACCGTTGCAAACTCTCCACAGCTGCTATCCAGCACTTTGATTTTATTAGTTGTTATTGTCTTTGAACTAGCTGTCAGTAACAACGAGTACTCTCAGATCTGTACTTGGTGCGTTCTTGTTGTGGGGATGTATAAGTACCCTACCACGTCCACTCTGTGTTTTTGTTACTTGTTTTGTGCTTTGTATCGATCTGATAAGTTAAGCCTTTTCAACTGATTTTTATAGTTTGTTCATATGTTGTACTGTTACACCACTGTCCCAGGTTAAGGGGAGGATTGGGCGCCCGCTAACATGTTTAACCTCGCCATATTCTGTATGTGCCTGTCCCAAGTCAGGAGCCTTTAATTCAGTGGTTGTTGTTTGATGCTGTATATCATATTTGTTTTTCGTTCATTATTTTGTACAAAAATCATGTCGTTATTTTTCTCGTTTGAATTGTTTTACATTTGTCATTTCGGGGCCTTTTATAGTTGACTATGCGGTATGGGTTTTCTCATTATTAAAGTCCAGAATCTTTGCTTAAGCGCAGTAAAAGTTGAGAAAGTTTTGGACTTTTCCCAATATATTCTATGTAAAGTATTTTTCAAAATACCTTCCGTAGTTTGGTCAGCCTGGAGGCAGGAAACAAGAAGTATATTTTACTGTTTGCCCTACACTTGCAATAACATAATTATGCAATATTGGATAACGCATCCTGAACCAACGTTTCTACGCTAATTGAGGTAAATTGAACTTGATCTTAGATAAAATGACCTCACAATTCTTCGGAAAATGTCTGTATCAAGTCAGGAATATCACAGTTGTTTTCTAGTCGTTCCGGTTGCCGATATATTCGAGCGTTTGGTTTTGTCAGTTTTTATAGACTTCCCCTTTTTGAATGAACTTTTCCATCCAGTATTTTAGCTAGTCAGATATTTTTTCTGATCTCATTTTCAACATTTTTTCTTTATACCAACTCCTGTAAAACTGCAACATATTATAGTATATATATATATATATATTTTTTAAGTTATCATTATTTTATAAGCCTTATAATAGTAAGATATAACAGCTAACTTTCTTTGATTTAGCTTATCACTGTTATATTTGCATGACTGCATGCTACATACTTATGCATATTACTGATATAATGTTAATATAAGATTGGAATAACATTTTGGAGATTAATAATTTGGTATAAATAACAGAAAATTTAATCTAATCAAATCTTGTATCCTCATTTGCAGCTTAATGCTAAAGAGGATAGTGTTTATTGTTAGGTTGAATTATACGAATTTTAGGGGAAAAAAACGGGTTAAGTAAATTGCATAACAATGTAATTTTAACTTTATATTGTAAATCTTAAAATGTTAAAAATATTTATTATCTGTAAATATTTTTAACATTTTGATATATACATACTTAATAGTGTGTTGAAATTACATTGTTAGGCAATTTATAATTTCATTTGTGTAATTGTATTAATATTTGTACTGATTAATCCACACTAAAATAAATTTGTATGTTATATATATATAGCACGCCTTTTACGAATCAACGTATTGAACGCACGAAAATTGTAGCTTTGAGTGAGTTAAATATGCTAATGAGTAATTTTAAGACGTGGCTATATATGATTTGTAATATTAATAGTTAAATGCTGACCAATGAGAATGAACTGTGCCTTTCATAAATTAAATATGTCAATCAAACAGTGACTCGCAAAACATCTCTTATTTTCAGAAAATGAACACATATGACACCTTTTCAGTAGGATTTGTATTTCAGATAAATGCACATGTACATGAATTATTGTTGTGCGATTTACAATGAGATTTACAGGCCGAAGATTAATTATTGTGTTAATGAAAAGTGTACCATCCCAGAAAATTCTTGAGGGGGTCCATGCAAAATCTTTGATCAAAGATTGAATAGGACGTGCAGTTTTAGAGGTGTTGCACGTTATGATAAGAAGGAAACTTTTTCAACCAATTGTGAAGGTATTGTTTCTTTCCAAACAAAAACAATCGATTGATTGGTTGGTTGTTCGTTGCGTAAGATCCAGGGACAAATATTTGAAGCATGCTCAATTCACGGAGATATACCTCCCCATTTCCATTCTCAATTTTACTTTGTAAAGTGGAAGAAATCACTGACCATCCAATAACATAATTTTTAGGAATATTTATTCTGATACGATAAAAACAGGTATCCAACCAAAATGCAAGTTTCTAAAGTAACACAATGTGTGGGGTGGCCATGAAAGGGAGAAAATCGAGCACATGGTATCCCATAACAATATTTTGTTTAGATATTTGCTAATTTAACCTGTATTTAATTTTTGGTATTTCTAGAAATTTGAAATAATTTGTTAATTTTTTTTTTATCAATATCGTCTCTTTGTATATTGAGCTATACCTCATTTTTTTCTTTTTTAAGTCCCCCTCTGACATTCCGCCATTAATCGCAAGTTTTAGAACCCTTGTTTTGATTTAGTGTTTGGTTTATGAGTTTGACCTGTGGTAGAGTAGGGTATGGGTTCTAGTTAGTTTGAAGTCCCTATTTCCCCGTCCGAATTTATGTTTTAATAATTTGTTGTGAATGCATTTTATTTAGATTGATGAGGAAATCTATATGGTCATTGTTATCAAATTTTGTTAAGCAGTTAAGCTGCCTTATGCTAGCATCCTAGATTTGTGTTCTACCCAATAAATGCTGAAATACGTGCCAATGTTATTATCTAGCTGGCTATTATGTTATTTATAACTAATTGGACATTTTTTTAATACTTTTATTTCTGGAATACAAAAAATATGACCAGAAAAACCTTAAATGATCGTCGAACTACCCAAAACTTTTGAAGTTGCACATAGGAAGTAGTGCTCAATAGAAATCCGTACGTAGTTTATTATCCCTTGTGCTTTTGGCTACAATGTCAAAGAACAATTGTATGAAATATTGCATCGCCGAAAATCGGTAATTACAAGTCGTTTATATTTCCCAAATGGCAAAATGCGCAGGAATATTGTTCATGTACAACCAATCTCTATGATAGAGGAAATAAAGTTATATAAGTGGGTGGTAATTTCTAACTTATCTTGCCAAATAAGGTTGTTGTTATTTTATGAATGAAACGAGGTCATGAAAACCGCTGCTGGATAACTCGGACTAAAACAAAATCGGCCTATCACAAACTCGGACTATAACAAACTCGGCCTACCATTATTTATATGCGGAAATATATTGAACAAACTCGGACTACGATTAGTACATTGTTTTGTGGGTTTTTTTTTCTCACTTTAATAAAAAACAAACTTTATATATAAAAATTATATACGAATTTTGAGATTATGATAAATATTTTTGAAAAAACAATGTATAGAAATGTATTAAAATAAACTTAGATCCATCATATTAAATATGTGTTATATGAGTTGAATTTGATATGTTTGAATGAGGATAATTAACTTCTTTTTGAAATATTATTGTGATTTTCTCGTTTGTTATTTTTTTTGACAAAAGATGTTTTAATGATTGGCGTGTGTGCGTGTTTGTATCGTATTTAATCCTTGATGTTCATAATTAGTATACAAATAAAGAGAAATTTGATTGACAGTGAATGGCTTCTTAACAATTTCACTAATCTGTAATTCTTTATTAATGGATTCACCAATTGAAAAGTAATTATATTTAAATGGTCACATCAAACAGATACAATGTTTTTAGAAAAGCAAGCAGAGGCAAACATTTATCATACATATATCTAAAAATAGATGTGGAGTAAAATTGAAAAAACAACAGAAATCTCTTTGATCTTACCTTATAGTTCTATAAAATAACATGAAAAAAATTCCCCATCTCATTCTCAACATGGGTACCGACCACTGCGTCGGCTGACATTATATATAATTTTGAATTCGTCTAAATGAATACTTAAAATCTAAAACATAGCTCTTTCATTATATAATGTTTAAGAATACGACTATATATAATTGTCATCATTGAAGTGAAAACAAAAAAAATACATAATTTGTATAAGTGACTTCTGGTTTTAAAATTATAAAGTATTTTTTTTTAAAAAATGTTGTTACTTCTTCAGGTTTCACAATGAAGGAGTATCGTTCTATGATGCAAAGTGAAGAGACCGTTAATTTCATCTGTACCAAGTACAATGATGTAGAAGAAGAAACAACCAGGTAGGCACTCGTCTAATTGTAATAGTGTGTTTATGTTGAAATTGTAAAGTTGATACATTTTATTTTTAAACAAACATAGCGTTTCATTAGTATTTGTATATATAGAAATCTATAAACATGTGGTATGATTGCCAATGATCAATGACCCCACATCCAACCAGAGTTGATACATTTTATTTTTTTTCCAAACATAGCGTTTCATTAGTTAATGTATATATAGAAATCTAGAAACATGAAGATGTGGTATGATTGCCAATGACCCCACATCTAACCAGAGATCAATGATGCAAGGTGTTCAACTATAGGTCACTTTATAAGAAATGTTCGTTTTAATGCATTTATTATGAATTTGTATCTTTAAAAATTTAAATCTTTTATAACTTATTATCATTTATTTCAGTTGCCCAGTCAACTCAACACATATTACAGACGTTTCAGACCAACCGATACCGGACTATGGTACCTTCAACCTCTCTGTCATCTCCGCAGCAAATAATACCAACAGCCTCAACACAACCTTCACTATCAGCCGTGAACCAGACCACACAACTGAGGTAGAATCAGACCCAGCAGGTACTCCAGAGCAAACCATACCAGAACCAGATACTGAACCAAACCTCACAGCAAGTTTTGACGTGACACGTAGACCAATAGAAGATCAGCAAGAAATATTAGAAGAGTAAGTAAATTAAATGTATTACTTAATCTATATATAGGTTGAAAAAATGTATAAACAAAAATACCAACGGTACGAAACGCAAACAGCTTTACAACGAACCCTGACTTGGTATTGTTCACATGACATGATTATGATTCAATATATAAACATTGATGTTTTGGTTTTTTTTTTATTTGATTTAATTTTTGCTCATGAAATAGTTTTTTAATATATATGGGTTGATATTTGTAATTGCCAACTAATGTGATATGATCAGTATAATATTCAGGTTGCACTCTAATAAACTATTTATCCATTCATTCATATACTTGATATCTAATTAAACATTTATTTGTAGTTCCTTAATTGAGCCAGACCTACCAGACACTATTCTGCCAGACATACCAGTAACCTACACATTGGTTGACGAAGGTTCCCAGCGTGGCCGGTTTAAGTTGGTGAGCAGTGATGGGTATGAATATACCAAAAAGGTAAGACATCTTAATATTAAGGTAAAATGAAATTTGTTGTATACGTCAATGAGACAGCTAAAGTAAAAAGAAAACAGATGATTTTTTACAATTTTTCATTACTTGAGCCTAACATTTATTCCTTTCAACCGACACCTTGGTTTCAAGCGTAGTTTTACGTATATGATGTAGGTAAATTAAACTAATAATTTGAAATATTTAACGTGGAACGTGGTGTGTATGCGTCAAAGTGACAGCTAATGTACATAACAGATGTGCTTATTCATATGACAAGTCCGAATAAAATAAACTTTCTATTTCAACTGTTGTATTAATGATTAACTCTAAGTAATTTTTAATTTTTAATTTCAGTCATCCAAGGGTGACTTTACGTACTGGAGGTGTTCCAAACGCTCCAAGACTGTCAACTGCCCAGCAACAGTCTCTCAGAAAGGCAGTGACTATAAGATGAACACCAGACAACACATACACCAAGCTGACAAGGGTGCACTAAAGAAAGTAGTGGTTAGAAAAGAGGTATGTATGAATATGAAAACTTAATTCATAAGTTAAGATTTATGACGATTTATTTGATATAAGATCTGTAATTGAATATAAAAACTGTGTTCATAAGTTAAGATTTATGACGATTAATTCGATATTATACACTCAAATAAAATATACATTTTTTGTGCATTATTATATTCTTGTTATTTTATATTGTAGGTTAAAGCAGAAAGTCTTCGAGACATACACAAGTTAGCACGACGTATAGTAGATGACAAGATGTTGGAACACATAGAGCCTGAAGATCACCAGCTACCAAAGGTCAAGAACCTAGAAAGACTGGCAAACAGAGTACGTGAAGACCTCATGCCAGATGAACCGCAAGACCTTTACTTTGTCATGAGTAGATTTATTTGTTTATTTCACAGTACTAAATTTATTTAGAATAGAGGTTATTCGTATATTGAAAAATGATTAAATGAAAGCAACAATTTATAAATTTTATACGTCCATAACGCTTTGATGTATTTAACCTAAACATGCACGCTCAAAGCCGAAACACATAGATGTATAAAATATATAGCTATATGGAAAACCAGAAAATCATATTTATAGCGAAACAACATACAGTACGGAAGATTTACAATTTATTCGTCAAAATAAGTCCTTTAGTAACATTGATTAATTGTTATTTTTCTTTTAGTTGGACACAGACTACTTGCAGTGCAATGACTTCATCATTGGTGACATACGAGTCGACAACGAGAGACACTTGATGTTTGCTTCACCCAACCAGCTTCAGATCCTTCAACAAGCCAAGCGGTGGTTCTAAGACGGTACTTTCAAGATCCTTGCAGATCCCTTTGCTCAGCTTTGGTCCATCCCTGCCTTTATCCACAAAGGTGACAGCTACAAACAGATTCCACTAGTTTTCTGCCTTATATCCAGACGTAAAGGGAGAGATTATGTTGCTGTAAGTATAATCAATATTTTATAATATGTTTTGAATTATAGTAATTAATTAACAATAACATTAGAACAAACTACAATATACTCCAAGAATATCATAACGATTTAGCAATACTAATCATTTATTTTATATATAGATATATAACCATAAGAAGTGATTGATAACATTAATTTACTCATTATCGTGTATGTTTTTTGTTTTTTTGTTTTTTTGTTTTTATTTTTAAATTTTTATGATTTTAGTTGTGTGGTTGTTTTTGTAATTATATAAATGAATCATTATTCATTAGTGTAAGTAATACATTTTACAGTTTATTGATTGTATATTTGAACTCAATTGATATATAATCTTGAATAAATTTAATTATAGTAATTTGTTTTATATCACAGGTTTTTCAGAGGCTGAAAGAGGTCCTTCTAAGACCAGCAGAAGTTCAGTGTTTTGTTGCCGATTTTGAGCAAGGTAAATATTATTATATTAATTAAGCATCAACATATTGATTTATGCTGATTTTAATGATTATTTTGAATATCAATTTTGAATATCCTGATGGATATCAACACCTTTTTATTACTATTGTATTAATTGTACAATAATAACAGATTGCTTGTATTAAGAGTAATCCTCAGACTAAAAATCGAGAACAAACACGATGATAAGAGAAAATTACATGTATGTTAAATTAAACTTTGTTTGCATATTATTATGTTTAATTCACATGTATTTGAAATTAAAGCTTCTTTATGTATCATTTATATCTTTTTATATGACATGATTATGTATATGATGTTAAAGCTTTCTCGCGCATATTTATATTTATAATTACTTTTTCTAGGTGCATGGAAAGCCATACGTAAGGAATTTCCTACTTCCACCATCAAAGGTTGTGCCTTCCATTTTGGCCAGGCAGTTTGGCGTTAGACGCAAGAGTTGGGCCTCAAGACCACATACACCAGCAGGGGTGCAGAGTACAGATACATCCGTTCGCTGATGGCACTTCCCTTCTTACCAGCTGAAGACATCAAGCCGGCTTTCGAGAAGCTTTCACCAAGAGCTACATCTCCAGAGCTAAAGCAACTAGTAAGATACGTAGACAACACATGGCTCTGCAACACTGTTTGGCACCCACGCAACTGGAACATCTTTCAGACCAGCATCAGGACGACCAATAATGATGTTGAAGGTATGCATTTTTTTTTTTATTTTATATAAGAATTTCATTTTCCTATCAAACTGGTGGCATTATTATATTGTAACGAAAAATTATGAAATTAATTTTAATTTAATTTCCATGTAATCACACGACGTTCCCATTGACATAGATTACTGCAATATAAATTATATAGATATAGGAAGATGTGGTACGAGTGCCAATGAGACAACTCTCTATCCAAGTCACAATTTATAACAGTAAACCATTATAGTTCAAGGTTATCTTTTGTTGTGATGAGGCAAATAGCTTTCTTTTTTCTTTTCATGTTTTTAATGAATATATATGTATGTAAATACATCTTTTCTTATAATTTAATTCTATTTTAGGTTGGCACACAATGATCAACTCCGACATCGGGAAAGCTAATGCCGCCTTCTACGTCTTGGTACCGGCGCTTCATCGGGAAGCCAAGCTTGTTGATCTAACTGTCCGATTGGTTTCTGAGGAACAGGTCATCAGGAACCAACGCATTCGCTACAAGGAGCTGGAAGGTCGTCTTCATCAGTTATGGGACCAGTACACAGAAGGTGACAAAACAGCATCCCGTCTACTTCGCGATTGTGGCAACATCTACGGTCCGTCCAACCACTAGCTGTTAATTACTCCTGCCTGTGTTTATGCTTGTGCTTTAGCCTTGACAGTATTCATTTTTGCATTTTGTCTCAGATATGACTCATCATCTGTATGTGCTATGTACGTTTTGAATGTGGTAGCTGTGATTTAAATGTGCTATGTATGCTTTAAATGTGCTTTGACAATGATTATTTAGATTTGCATTTTGTCTGTCTTATAGATGATGACAAAATGCCTTTGAGTTTTAAAGGTGCTTTATGTGTTTTATTTATGCTTCATATTATTCGTATGTAATTAAATATTATTGAATGACGAAATCATTGTTATGTTTGTTGACATCTGCTGAAATAAAATTTGTAAACCTTATGTTTTCTTTATTATACAGTATTACATTGTACAGATAAATCACACTGAGATTCAACCAAACAAAGTATGATCAGAAACATACAATTCACTGCACTGTCTTATAATTACATAAGGTTTGTAATCACCATAATTTAAACTTACAACTGACACGTGTACTATTGACACCTATTTAATCACCCAAGTGAGAACAAAACTACCTGTAACTACATGAAATTGTGATTAACTAAATATCCAATATCCAGTATTTTCGCAGTAACAGCTTGTGAATAACTGATGTTTTCAGGTTCCCTTTTTTTTTGTTTGATTACAAACGATACACGTAGCATGATGTCATATTTCCAGTTGAATCAATTAAGATATGCATATGATAAATTATTTTGAGAGGGACATTATTACAAATTATAATACAGAAATACAAATCAGTGGTAGATTTTCATTATTAAATGCATGCATTCTTAATTTTCCTTTTATACATATCTTGTTAACGTCATTTATATTACTCGCTTCTAAAATGTTCAAAATAAATTATTTAATTAATTGTAAATCATTATTAATTTCAAATTAAGTAGTGATAATTAATTTCCAATAAAAACAAAATAAAACATCATACTTATATTCTTCTAGTAGTCCGATTTTGGTTTAGTCCGAGTTTGTTTGTGCATTAGGGTCTATTTAGGGGTATTTGGAGGGGCCTGAAGAAGGAAGGGGTTTACTATAGAACCCTATGGGAATTTATTATTTTTAAATTTTCAAATGACTATTTCTCGAAAACAGTAGGTGATAGACACATGCAGTCTTCAGTAATGAGAACAGGACAATACAAAAAATCAACCAGAATATAGGGTGAGTCCCTGGGGGTCATCCTTACCCCCTTCAATTTGAAAATGTACTTTTATCTTGTAAACCGTCGCGATCCCCACCCCTAAACTATATATATACTTGAATGGGACAATAAAAGGAATCAAATGAAAATAATTTGGGGGAGTCCCCAGTGTCGTCCCACCCCATCCTGTTTGAGAACTTGGAAATGGTCAAGACCCCCACCCCTAAACGATATATATTCATGTATGGGACAATAAAACAAATCAAAAATGAAATATAGAGAGAATCCCTGGGGTCACCCCACCCCCTCCTGTTTGAGAACTTGTAAACGGTCGAGATCCCCACCCCTAAGCCATATATATTCATGTATGGGACAATATAACAAATCAATTGAAATATATGGGGAGTCCCTGGGGTCACCCCAACCCCTCCTGTTTGAGAACGTGGAAATGGTTGAGATCCCCTGCCCTAAACCATATATATTCATGTATGGGACAATAAAACAAATCAAATGAAATATAGGGGGAGTCCCTGGGGACACCCCCGCCCCTCCTGTTTGAGAACTTGTAAACAGTCAAGATCCCCACCCCTAAACCATATATAGTCATGTATGGGACAATATAACAAATCAAATGAAAGATATGGGGAGTTCCTCGGGTCACCACACCCCTCCTGTTTGAGAGCTTGGAAATGGTCGAGATCCCCACCCCTAAACCATATATATTCATGTATGGGACAATAAAACAAATCAAATGAAATATAGGGGAGTCCATGGGGACACCCCACCCCCTCTTCTTAGAGAACTTGTACACAGTCAAGATCCCCACCCCTAAACCATATATAGTCATGTATGGGACAATATAACAAATCAAATGAAATATTTGGGGAGTCCCTTTGGGTCACCCCACCCCCTCCTGTTTGAGAACTTGGAAATGGTCGAGATCCCCACCCCTAAACCATATGTATTCATGTGTGGGACAATATAACAAATCAAATGAAATATAGGGGGAGTCCCTGGGGTCACCCACCCCCTCCTGTTTGAGAACTTGGAAATGGTCGAGATCCCCACCCCTAAACCATATGTATTCATGTATGGGACAATATAACAAATCAAATGAAATATAGGGGGAGTCCCTGGGGTCACCCTACCCCCTCCTGTTTGAGAACTTTTAAACGGTCTAAACCTAAACCATATTTATTCCTGTTCATCATTTCAAAAAGATTTGAATGACATACAGGGTCAATCTCCTTGGTGTCACATATGCATATCACTTTACTAGACCAAACCAATATGAACTGGACTTTGCCCAATGTCAGGAGACCATGGGAATGACGAATTATGGGGGCTTTGTTTGGGAGACTTCGTAACGGCATCTTGTTACAATTATTTCTTGTTAATTATAAAAAAATTTTGATCCAAAAAATGAGTCTAGATTATTGAATTTACTTTAATTGTTTATTAAATTATTTCTGGGCCTATAATAATTTTCATTTATGGCTCATTTTGAAGAAAACATATAAATCTTTCAAGCAGTGTAAAGCCCAAGAATGTTTGACCAAATGCTTTATAATCACCTGTCATTTTATTCAAAACTTGGTATGGAGTAACATCATGCACTTGGGGGTGAAGATGGGGGTCATTTACATTGATATATGAGTTGCTTTTGAAAACCTCGATGAAATATTAATTAATTTGCCTTAATAATCAATTCATTTAATGAACATAAATGTACAATATACGAATGTTTAATGTTTGTTCTTTCAAATCTTAAAAAAAAAATTGAAGCAACATTGCCACAGTTTTCATAATTACGTTTGCCTTGGTTTTTGGTTAACTGCCTTCAGCGCTTACAGTGCTTTGATTTTATTCTTTCATTATTCACTAATCCAAGTTTGCGGAGCTAGACAGTTAAATAACAACTTCTGAGATGGAAGTTAGAGCGCTGCTTTAAGCTCCTCCCATTGTTTGGTTTTCCTATGAAAAACGACTAAAGGCGGGATTGGAGAGTGCAAAAACTAAAAAAAAAATCATTCAGAAAACGCACTCCTCTTGAAATAACAGACTTAAACTCACTCGAAGATCAAAGGAAAAATAACCATTCATGTTACAATTTTGGATATGTAAACTTGTTTCACCTGTTCAAAAAAAAAAGGTAAAAGTCAAAATACAGCCAACTTAAAATATATGCACAAAATACCTGTATATCGATATCAGTAACAGCTGTTTTAAGATTGAATTACATACAGTACATTAATCCAATCAATACAATGGACATCTCCCAATTGATATTAGAATATATTTGATACATTTATGTGTGAATTATTTTATAATTACAGTCGTTATGGAATAATTGTATGTGGACATTTCCAGTTCAAAATTAAGTTGAGATATATGTAAATAATACGGTAGATGATATATTTAGGAAACGTCAACGTAAGATGATTCATTTCCTGAGAAAGGCAATTATGTGTCCAGTGAAATATTCAACAATAGTGTCTTCAGTGTTACGTAGAGAAATTGTCAATATGTATGTACATATGTGGAATACAAGAGGAATAAAAACAACGTTGTTTATTTTTTTCATTGTGATTTTATTGATATTTATGAATTCATATATCAAACCTGTTCGATTCATATTTGTTCATCAAAGTGTAAACAGTACGTGCCTTTTATCAGACATTGATCCTTTTGACAAATCAGTCATGAAGTATATATGGCATCCAAAGCCAATTGTTTGCGAACCATCTCCGTCCATTGTTTATATTGACAAGATGGGAAAACTACAACTGAACAGAAGTGAAGTTTCAAAGAATAACAACCCTTTCGATTGTTTTTATCGTTTGATTGAACGTTCCGGTGACAATGATGTAACACTATCACAGGAAGTCAAGTTTTTACGTCCAGTGTATATTCCTTCAGATTATGTAAATGTTAAATGTTTCGATGATCACAGACTTCTGTATGATACTGTTCTGCATAATGTTGACTATAAAACAGTTCGGAAGAGTAAAGAAATATTAAAAGAAAATGAACAATGCTTTAGTGTATTGATATTTGGACTTGATTCAGTGTCGCGATTGGCTGCACAGCGGAAACTACCTAAAACTATGAACTTAATCAGAAAGCTTAATGGATACACTTTCAAAGGCTACACAAGTATTGCAGCAATCACATATCCAAACCTGATTGCATCATTGACCGGAAAAACTGCGTACAGCAATGAACTACCGAAGTTAGACCCTAGGAAAGAATTCACCGATAATTACCCTTTTATATGGAAAAACTTTTCCCAAAAAGGATATGTTACAATGTTCAGTGAAGATTTCCCAGAAATAAGCATGTTTAATTATATGCAAAAGGGTTTTAAAGATTCTCCGGTAGATCATTACCTTAGACCGTACTACGTAGCAAGGAAAAAATTGCACCCAGTGCAATCGAATTTGGACCAAGTGTTTATGTTCCTGGAAGATAAAGATATTAAAATGAGAAAATATTCATCTCTTTGTTATAAAAGTCGTCCAAAACATGCAATACATATAGATCACTATAAAAACTTTGTATCAACTTATAAAGGATATCGGAAATTTGGATTGTCATGGTTAACAGAGATAGGGCATGATTATATGAATTTCTTAGAACTTGCCGATGATGATATAGAACAAATGATTCAATATTTTTATAAAGAAGGACTTTTCAAGAATACAATTTTTATTTTGTTTGGAGATCATGGTCCTAGGACGGATGAAATTCGAAATACAGCCATTGGAAGAATAGAAGAGCGTATGCCATGGTTAAGCATTGTTATTCCTAAACAAATTAAGAAGAAATACCCTCATATACATACAAATTTAAAAGACAACGAAAATAAGTTAACGTCACCATTTGATTTGCATGAAACTTTCGTGGACATACTTAATGAAAATTTTACGTTTTCTGAGGAATTTATGAAAAGACCGTATCCGAGAGGGATAAGTCTTTTAAGGGAGATACCAAAAGATAGGTCATGTTCTGACGCTGCTATAGCAGAACATTTTTGTGCATGTTATACATCACACAACGTGTCAGTAAATACTCGTATGATAAATATAGGAAAGTTTATTGTGAATTCAATTAACATTAAACTTGCACAATTTAAAGACAAATGCTCAAATTTATCTTTGTATCAAGTTAAAGAAGCCCAGGAAATCAAAACGGGTTTAGAACACAGAGAAGACTTTAGTAGAAAGACTTTGTTGAATCTGTTTTATCAACCAGAGGTTGAATCCGAACAACGTTACGTTGTTTTAATCGAAACTATCCCTGGTCATTCCTTATTTGAAGGTACAGTTAGTAGCAAAAACAATGAACTGACGCTTCTAGGTGACGTTAGTCGAACCAATAGATATAATAACCAATCACATTGTATATCCTTTAAAACTATGAAACATTTGTGTTACTGTGAAGATTTAACATTGTGAAATCAATGAACTATAAGTAATATGGGATCAATAACCGTTTGGTTATCATTTATAATGTAGAGGTTTTATATTTTTCAGACAATCATAAAACAGAATAAAACTGTGTAGAAATACTTTTGTTGAAGTAGCATTTTTATAGGAAACGATTAAACATTGTTTTATTGTTATTACACATCGTCTAGGTATAAGTGTAGATACATATGACGTGAACAAATAAGTCAATTATTAATTCTCTTGACAACTGAATTTTAGTTCAACTCATCAGAGGTGCATTCAGGTGTATTATACATAACGTATGGGTTTAATGGGTAGTAATCACAAGAGTAAAGTGCCAAGCATTTCGTGAAATTGTTTTGGTTTGGTTTAATTTGTTTTTTAGCAGCCAACTTTTCTTTTTTATTTTAATCGATGTCTGAAACAGAATAGTATACTGATATGATAAATAGATAAATAAAAGAAAAGGATAAAACTTTAGGTAAGCGGGTTTTTTGTCATTTGAAGCAATGACAAATATATCGTCTTATTGTTTGCTTTCAGATTGTTTTCAATTCTCGTAACACTCATCTTATTGGTTGATATAAATTCAACATTTGGTTGCGATATTGTTCATATTCACTGGTAAAAATTATATATGTGTGTTTTATGCATTTATTTATTAGTTTTATGATTCTTGAATTATATTTCATATCTACTAGCACTTTAAATTTATATTCTTAATTTTAACATAAACAGTCTGAGAAAAGAATGATGTTGTGCAATTCTGTCATTTTATTTTTGCAATTTTGTCGTCCCAACATAATACTGACAGGATGTAGAAACGTAATTTATAGCAATACGTATTTAGTTATGTTTTAATTTATCAAAAACAAAATAAATATAAGTACTGATTAAAACAATATTCATAGATATGAATACGGTGTCTGAAATTTTAAGAATAAGTTTATTCACAGGATCTACTTTTTGTCTCTTTGGTTTTATCACCTCTTCAATTTTTAAATAAGGCTTAGATTTACAAATATTTTGGCCTCAAGAATCACTGACGAGATATTTATTGTCAACATGCTCATCTGGAGCAGTAAAATTGGCACCTTTAACGTTAAAAATAGGATGTAATACACCGTTTTAATAAGATTTCTACAGCTATAGTAAAACTTTAAATTAAAATATTTGTATTTGTGAAACAAACATCACCGCCCAAAACAGGAAAATTAAAAATAATAAAATCGTGTCTTTTGTCGTAAATTATTAATTTGATTTTCCCCTGTGAAAATGAAATATCAAAATTTCGAAAAGGACAACTATTGTTATTAATATTAGATTTATTTAAATCGAGTTCCCTTTGTCAAATTTGTGCAGCAATATAATCAAATTCTTGATCATAAAGAGTAAAAATATAATCAAGGTAAGGAAAAGTCTTATTAATGATAAGACGTATCTTTACTGAGTTTTTCAAGTTGCAGTTTTTTTTTAGATTTTTCATAAATAAATCATGGAGAGGTTTACTTGTTTAATTCAAACACCCATTTGGAATGTACCAATGTCGCCAAATGATTTTATTTTGAATTAGAAAATTAGTTCACAGAAGTAAATAGTCAACTTTTTTTTCACTAATTTTTCTGTAGAGTTAATATATAGTTTTAATCATTGAAAGGAAAATGTATTTCCACATTTAGAACACATATATGATTACGTTAAAACATCTTTTATGTATACAAGTTTTATTATATCTAGTCTGTTGAAACAGCATTGGCATTATCCAATATAAATGGCATTGTTCGTTTCATCACATGGGAAATTACATTAAGTTGCTATTATGACATTACAATGTTTCTTGGATATAACACAACCATGTTGAACTATGTAGATATCTATAACTGTTCAAAACATGAATATTTTACGGAATTACGGAAGGAGAATACGCATCAGTCTGGAGCAAATAAAATTCAATAGCCAAAAATATAGATTAAAAAAATGAAATAAAACTAAAGGAAAAGCAAGAGTATATTTAAGAAAAAATACAAATTATATCTACATATATATGCATTTAAGAGGACAGAAAACACCATGATCAAATGTAAAAAAAATCGAAAAGATAGGTATACCGTTTAAGAAATGCTTTAATGATTTGATAAACATATACCTTCTGTAATTTAAAAATATTCGTTCTATTAGCACTACTGTAACAACAGCACATGAAAAGGCCGTGAAATGTCTGTGAAATATCACAGGGCCGTGAAAACCCCGTGAAAATACCCCGTGACTTTTGTAAAAAAAATATTTCTAAAGGCCGTGAAAAATATTTGATGTTAGAAAAAGACCGTGAAATTTCAATATCCCGTGAAAAGGCCGTGATAATTTGTCCTTTCATGCTTAATAAAAAATATCACGGCCTTTTCACTGGTTGTTGAAACCAGTGAAAAAGCCGTGATATTTTTTCATGTCAATTTTTTCTTATCCTAATTCAAATTTAAAACATCGCATGTGATTATTGTAATATGGTCTAATTATTTCCACTCACATTTTTCTAAATATCCTATAAACTTGTCATTATAAATATATGTCTGTTTAAATATTATTATATGCAATACTACTGTACAGGACTGACTTTTCAATGGAACCATTCATTGTTATAATTAATGACTTTGTGCCAATAAATATTTTGTATTTAAAGAAAAGTATTTTGCTTCTCGTCTGTACATTATTATAAACAATGTAAACATTAATTTTAATTGGAACCGAAACATGTAAAAATGAGAACTTCCCGGAATATCAGACCGTATCCGGATTCGTGTTTCTTTTAGAGTAATTGTAACATTTCCGCAGGCTAGGTAGGAAATTTGAGAGACGCCGAAGGTAAAGGTGGCTGGGTGGTATAAATATCTAATATAGGATTTGGCTAATACTTTTTATAAATGAACTTTATCATATATTAAGTGGAAAATAAAAATAAAAAAATGGGTTCACCGTCTAGTTAAATTTTTTTGAAGGGTTCAAGTTTATTGGTTTTCATTCAAGATTACTATAGAAATGATAGGGAAATGAATGCATAGCCATCTTTTTTGAAGAATTTCTCATGAAACCTAATATAGGATTTTTTAATGTTTGTGTTTTTTCTGTTGCTGAAATAGTCTTTTTAAATAATAAAAAATAAAATCAACAAGTCACCGTCTAGTTAAGACAAAAAATGTACATCATTAAAAATAATGAGCATTTTTTCAAAAAGGGAGATAACTCTGTCTTTTACAGATTTTTCTAATTTTGAGACCAGATATAGAGAGACCTGGTTATAAAAACTTGTTATACCCTCTATACATGTAAGACCATATATAATATATATAACATTTCCAAACAGTTGATTTGCATATCGGTTGCCATGGCAACCAGCAGTCAAAATGGAAAATCACTAATTTTTGGGATTTTTTTAAATTTTCAGTTCAAATTCAATACCAAACTATTTGAAAAATGATCAGGCAGTATCTATTACAATAGGGGTGTGTTTGTTTTTAGAACCTGTATATTTATATGGACTATGGAATCCCTGAGGCAAATAGTTCTTAGTTTGTCTGCTCGTTCACTTGTTTAATACCACTGGTTTCAGTTGATAATTTTAGTATCTCTTGCTTGATTGTAATAAAACTTGCTCACTCAGACACCTGACTTAAACTGATTTTTCAGTTTACAAGAGGTATCCCTCATCTGCAATAAATATCCCACCTCAGGGACCTCTAACATTAGTATTCCAATTTTGATGAAACTTTGCAAGGCATTTTTATTTTATTGGTGTTTTGTACATAAATCAGGCTGTTTTGACATGTTTGAATTGCCTTACATTTGTCATTTGGTTTTATAGCTTGCCAAACGGTATGGAATTGGCTCATTGTTGAAGGCCATATATCTCTTAACTTCTATCTCTTTTGGTCTCTGGTGGCAAGTTTTCTCAGTGGCAATCATGCCCCGTAAATCCCACCTTTTAATATATATTTGAAATTTTAAACACAATGCTGACAAATTTGGCACACAGGACAGCTTCTATGTTTGTTGTATAATGGAATTATTACAGGAGCATATCTAAGTTTGACATAGACAAATTCTTCTTTCATTTCCTAGTACTTGTTTATGTATAAAAATTAACACATGAGATAGTTGAACCTGATACACCCGCCATATAATCCTTTTGTTATATCTGTCAATTTATCCGTTTTATGCTTTTGAAATTACATACATAAAAAATTTCAGGTTAAATAGTGTGTTATTAGATTTGTATTAAATAGAAAATGTGTCTATAAGACACAGGATGTCCTGCCATTAAATGTAGGTCACAGTAATCAAATTGTTGATGACCTGTGTGGTATCATTAAAGAATACTGTAGTGATGATATATCACAATAGGTTTCTGTGAAATGAACCTAAACACAAGACTTAACCAAAGACACAAAAGCAATAAATGTAGGTCAAAGTGACTCAAGTAATGTATAGTACTACTAGCATTACTAGTATACAAGATGTCTGTGGAGAAAAAATATCAGTGATATATTACCATTAAATACTGAGAAATAGAGATGAATGCAAAACTTTACTGGAAAGGGATGTACATACTTATGGACTGACAAAGGTATACTAGTATCAATCTATATAATCCATCCACATTTGTGGCAGGGCATAATAAATTCCAATCTTGGTAACTTTTTCAAATAAATATAAATAACAACATGCAGTATTGTGACAAAAGTACTCATTTATGATCAAATTTCAGTTCCCATAAATAACTCATTTACATTCAATAAATTCCCCCCAAAAAATAACTTATTTAAAAGTGTTGAATTGCATGGTTTGATTAGTAGCAGGCCAACTTCACAGGTTTATTCTATTCATATAACCTTTTGATTTTCTTTTCAAAGTGTGCCAATTTTTAAAAATCCTGTTATGTATAATCAGTTATGCAAATACCTGTCTATTCAGTTTGAAAATAAAATTATTTCATTATTTTAAAGAGGTGGATTTAGGGGACGTACATATATGGTTAATTCATAGCCTTTTTACATGTCCCACTTCAACCGTTGCCTAGTTTGGGAAGGCTTTTGCTCCTTTTTTCGAAATTCTAGAAACATATTTG